TGTAATTGCAGGTGAAAATACCTTACGGTCAGTAAATAGACAGCACAGTGCTTGTCCTTATTGGTTTGTTTTATTTCACAATAGTAAGAGAGGAGAGCACTGGACAGAGACATGAGCTGAAGATGTATAGCGTGTGTGTGTGTGTGTGGGGGGGGGGGGGGGGGGGGGGGCAGGAGAAAGCTGGGGGTTCACCGGGAGTAATCTCATCTGTGATACACGAAAGATAACAGAAGGTCAAAGGTCAGTAAAATGCAGAGCACTCACCCGCAGATGGCTTTTAACACACAGTCAATATTGATAGAACCGGGCCTCCTTGTATCTCCTTAGCTAGCTTAAATTGTGAAAAATTCATTAATGCATACAATAATCCCGCCGCTCCACACCTGTGCTGCCATTTTGAAATATCCTGTGCATGACACCTGGTAGATACCTTCTGCATAGATACAGCTGATGCTCCCGATTTGGAATCCATGTGGGTGCATGTCCCTGAACCCAGGCAGTGTGAGTTTGGGTACAAGCACCCGTACCTGCACAGATGTCAAACTGGGAGTAGCAGCTGTGTCTGAGCAGCCACTGCATCCCAATAGACCATCCAAACTGTGGCCCTCCAGCTGTTGAAGTACTACAAGTCCCATCATGCCTCTGCCTCTGGGAGTCTTGCCTGTGGCTCTCAGAGTCTTGCAAGGCCTCATGGGACTTGCAGTTCCTCAACACCTGGCAGGCCATAGTTTGGAGACTTTTTTACTAAGTACCCTGGGTTTATAAATCCACATTTACATTACAAATAAGACAGAGATATTATTAGGACACGGATATACGTGTCATAATAGGTGACTTTTCTCCCCTTTTTTTGTTTGCCATAGTTTGGAGACCCCTGCAATAGACTTATGAGTCTGCCTGCATGCAGATGCATTGAACACATGTGCATCCCGTGCGGGCAAACACAGCTCTTCACAAGGAGGTACACTTAAGTATTGTTTTTCCCAGAGATCACAGTACTCCCCCCCGCCAATGTCTTCATCTGCCTTCCTGTTCAGAAGGACATATTTTCAGCCATTTTCCTGGGGCCTGTGCAGTTCATGGCTGTGTTCACAAATGTCTGACCAGGGGCGGACTAACCATTTGGAAACTCGGGCACTGCACGAGGGCCCGGGGTCAGTAGGGGGCCCCATGAGATGCCCCTGGTACCTTTTTCATAGGCTATTTTGAGTTTGGGCAAGGACACAGGGGCCCCATGATCCCCTATTGCCCGGAGGCCCCATGAGTTGTCAGTCCGCCCCTGTGTCTGACTCATATCAGCCCTCTGAAAAGCCTCTCATCTTATAAGTGGCTACAAAGTTACAATGTGCAGTGTAAGTGATCAGTGGTGGAGAAGAGACTGAGGAACTGCTTCCTATCACCTGAAGAAGATTGATGCCATCATCTCAGTCAAGACAAAGCACCAGGGCTGCTTTTTAACCACTTGCCCTCCAGAAGATTTACTACCCTTCCTGACAAAGTCTATGCGGTGTTGTGCTACTTCAACTGGCAATCGCGCAGTCATGCAGCGCTGTACACAAACTAAATTTTTTTTTTTTTTCACACAAATAGAGCTTTCATTTGGTAGTATTGATCGCCTGTGCATTTTTAATTTTTTGCTCTATAAACAAAAAAAGCAACAATATTTTTTACTTTCTGCTATAAAACATATCCCATTAAAAAAAAAAATCTAAATTCTTAATAACTAGAGATGAGCGAATCGAACTTGGCGAAGTGGAATTCGTTTCGAATATTAGGAAAAATTCGATTCGCACCGAATCCGAATTTTAGCAAACTTCGGATGCACGAATCGAATTTTCCCCGATCAGCCGGCAAAAAAGTGTCACTGCAGAGAGCTCCGCTATTTCTGACAGTTCTCTGACAGTTCCTTCACATTTACAGCGGTTGAAACATTGTATCTATTTGTTTCCATTTAGGATACAGATGTTTTTATTCGGAAACAAATAGATACAATGTTTCAACCGCTGTAAATGTGAAGGAACTGTCAGAGAACTGTCAGAAATAGCGGAGCTCTCTGCAGATACACTTTTTGCTGTACTGGAATTCTTCTTCTTTTCATTCTTCTTCTTCTTTTCATTCTTCTTCTTCTTCTTCTTCGTCTTCTTTTCATTCTTCTTCTTCTTTTCATTCTTCTTCTTCTTCTTTTCATTCTTCTTCTTCTTCTTTTCATTCTTCTTCTTCTTTTCATTCTTCTTTTCATTCTTCTTCTTCTTCTTTTCATTCTTCTTCTTCTTCTTTTCATTCTTCTTCTTTTCATTCTTCTTCTTCTTCTTTTCATTCCTCTTCTTTTCATTCTTCTTTTCATTCTTCTCATTCTTCTTTTCATTCTTCTTCTTTTCATTCTTCTCTCATTCTTCTTTTCATTCTTCTTCTTTTCTTTCTTCTTTTTCTTCTTTTCATTCTTCTTCTTCTTCTTTTCATTCTTCTTTTCATTCTTCTTCTTTCTTCTTTTCATTCTTCTTCTTCTTTTCATTCTTCTTCTTCTTCTTTTCATTCTTCTTCTTTTCATTCTTCTTCTTTTCATTCTTCATTCTTCTTCTTCTTCTTCTTTTCATTCTTCTTCTTTTCATTCTTTTTCTTCTTCTTCTTTTCATTCTTCTTTTCATTCTTCTTCTTCTTCTTTTCATTCTTCTCATTCTTCTTTTCATTCTTCTTCTTCATTCTTCTTTTCATTCTTCTTCTTCTTCTTCTTTTTCTTCTTTCTTCTTCTTCTTCTTTTCATTCTTCTTCTTCTTCTTTTCATTCTTCTTTTCATTCTTCTTCTTCTTCTTCTTTTTCATTCTTCTTTTTCATTTTCTTCTTCTTCTTCTTCTTCGTCGTGCCCCGTGACTGCCCAAATGAGTGATTTGTGCGGTGATTCTAAGATCGACGGCACTCATCTGCATGTCATACTGACTGACAGTATTATTTCTCTTCCCCAGCAGACTCCAAGGGCATTTAAATTAAAGGTACAGTGTTCTGCACTAATATAAAGGCTCTCTGAAGCCTAGAAACCCTTTTAATAAGTTAAATTTGCAGCGAATAAATTCGCATCGAATCGAATTTCTCCCGCAAATTCGGCGAATCAGCCGAATCGAATTTTTGAATAATTCGCTCATCTCTATTAATAACTTTTGGCCAAAATGTATTCTGCTACATGTCTTTGGTAAAAAAAAAAAGTCTCTAGTCATAGGTTTGTGTGAAAGTTTCAGCATCTACAAACTATGGAATATAAAATGAAGACAGAAAGCGAGCACATGGACTAAACAAAAAGCAGCTTGCATAAAAGGACAAACCCCTATATCCTCAAAAGCATATAAAACGTAGGATGCAGTGCTATAAAATATTAATACCAAAAGTGCTAGTAAATAAAATGACAATAGTGACAATACAAAACTGTATGTGAGGCACTCTAGAATTGGAGCTGAAGTTAATAATGATGCATATGTGTCACGCTGGATGACAGCGAGAAAGTGATATCAAAATTATTGATATAAAGTGACAATAGTGAACAGTCCAATATAAAATGAATAAATAAATGAAATCATCCAGATGAATATTTTATTGATATTCATCTGTATGATTTCATTTATTTATTCATTCATTCATGTAAGTACTAATGACACTGGGCAGGAAAGGGTTAACATCTAGGGCAATCAAGGGGTTAAGTATGTGCTTAACGTGTTTGTGTGTGTACTGTGTGCTGCTGTTACTGTGGATCCAGTTAATTCCATTCCTTGAATGATAAATTAACTAGATCGCCTGTCACTGAACACAGCTCTGTGCTGTTTACATTGACAGAGATGTGTTCTATGAGCAGGGCTGCTGTTAGAAACCACAGAGCCCCATTCAGCCAACCTGACAGGGGCCCCTCAAAAAAACCCCACAAAACACAGTTTATTATGCTTCAGTTACGAATGAACACAATGAGTGATCGGTACCGATCATTCATTGTGTTCATTCAGGAAAGGAAGAAACTGGTAAATGTGACATATTTACCGGACCCTTCCCTCAGTCTCCATCCTGAAGGATCCTATTGCTTTACTGCAGTTGCTGGGTGGAAAGGAGAGGAGGGAAGCCAGTAGCACTGCAGGATGGGGGCACATAGGGGGGCCTGGGCAGTAGAGGGAAATATATGGTGCACAGGAAGGATGATGGGTGCGGCGGGGAGGGAAATTACTGGAACTGATTCCCTGTATGGCTCTCTCTGCAGCAGATGAAAGCCAGTGGGAGTGAGAGGAGAAAGAAGCCCGCTTTCAGCTGCTGCAGAGAGCCATACAGCGGATTGGTTCCAGTAATTTCCACCCCGCCATGCCATTCACCCTCCATGCCCACAAATCTGATTCACCCACTTGTCTGGGCCCCCCTGCTAGCCTGGGCCCTGTACAGGAGGACTGGTGGTACCCCCGGATCTACAGCCCTGTCCAGTCTTAGAGCCGATCGCCGGCTGCCGACACCTGGTGATTGGCTTGTGCTGTTTCCCCATACCTAGAAATGCATATGCATACATGATTCTGCGCTGAGCAGCCACCCTGTTGCAGTAAAACTACAATGGGCTGGTCACAAAGTGGTTAATAATAAATGGTTGAGCTTTTTTGAAAAATGATAAGTTGATGTTATTGTGACACGTCAGGGATGTGTAGCATAGGAACATGTAATAGTAATAGATTCACTCTAATTTGGTCATGCACCAATTTTTCCCTGGATCTGTTACATCAGCAAACTTTATGATATGGTGTGAGTACTCTCTCTTATACCACATACAGTAGTTATTGGTACATTTTGTTGGTGTATGACCAGACTCAGGACAGCAACATCTACTTGTATAAAGCTTGGTAAAGTAAATGCGAAGAGTGCAGAGAGCTAAGCAGAGACAACCTTCCAGACACCATTCTTCTTTACACAAATCCTTCCTCATCTGAAAAGAGAAACAAGTGAAATGATCAAGAACTGTACACTGTTGGCCGTCATTACAGACAAACTATAGTTATCTAAGCAGGGGCGGACTGACAACTCATGGGGCCCCGGGCAATAGGGGATCATAGGGGCCCTGTGCCCTTGCCCAAACTTAAAAAAGGCTATGAAAAAGGTACCAGGGGCATCTCATGGGGCCCCCTACTGACTCCGGGCCCTCGGGCAGTGCCTGAGTTTCCAAATGGTCAGTCCGCCCCTGTATCTAAGTATGTGTGATCATTTTTTGGTCAATTTTGTTTTACAGGTTTTTTTTTAAATGTACAAACTTTTCAACTAAGATTACTGATTCAGGGCTCATTCACGCCAAGTGCAGTGGTGTAAGGGTGTGACGCATGGATAAATGCTGACATCTAATGTTAAACTATATTGTGCCTGTAATATGCTCTTTGGTCAGTAGATGGCAGCAAAGTACAAGAATCGATTTTGTAGTGACTTTTGCTAAGACAAGATAAATGATTATTTACCCTATAAAGTTTAATGAATACTAATTTAGGGGCCGAGTAGGACCCTCAGAAGGGTCATAGTGAACTGTAAATGCAGGTTTGAGGCTGCAATTAAGAAATTACTTACTGCATCACAAACTCTATGGGAAGGGGAGGAGTTCCTGTGCTGAGGAGGAAGTAAAGTCTGGGTCTGGCTGTTGGTGCTGAGGACGTCTGGAGAATCTGTGTGGAGCCTGGAAGAGGATTTACGGCTCACAGTGGAATCTGGCGGCGGCACCTAGGGAAGATTCACCACAACGCGACCAGGAAACAAGTGACTGTATGGTCCGGTTCTGGAGTGGATTAGGAGAAAGCACCAAGAGCCTGCCAGGGAAATTTGCCGCAGCACATCGCACCACACGTGGTCAGTGACATTTTGGATATACCAGAAAGTTACAAGAGACACACTCCACTTTCCTTTGGATTACAAATAGTATTGCGCAATACGTAGGGTGCACCCCAACGTTATATCTTGCTCAGGAACAGTCAGGCGCAGCCAGGCTGCTTTCTGGACATTGGGGAAAAGTCAGCAAGTACGGGGTTAGTGTTAGACAGTATTATTCTTACTGTATGGTTATGCGCTGTTATCATTCTGTTTACATATGCTCAACTACATGATCACTATAACTGTTCAGTAAACGTAATTGTTTTAAATGAAACGCTGTCTGTGTCTGTGTGGCATCGTGTACCCTCTGAATCTGTGGGCCCAGCCCTCGGTCTTCCTTCAGTGGGACTGTGCTGGGTAACTTTGACCAGTCCCAAAGCAAGACAAAGCAAAATGCTTTGTGTCTTATTAGGCCAGTTCACACAACTGTATGGTGGTGGGAGCTAAAAAAAATACAGCATGCAATCCTGTTTTTCAGTGGAGCAGTGTGCGACACAGACTTCCGCATCACACAGTGCTATGGCCAATACAACTTCACGAACAACTCAATAAAGTTCTCTGAAAAAGCAAGCAGTGCCATTTGCTGGGATCGGCAAATTGACACCACTGTCATCAGAACACACACCAACTGCTGGTGTGGACCAGCCCTAAATATTTTATCATTGCCATGAGGGTTGGAGTAGGCACATTCAGTGGTGTGTATAATCTAATCTATTTTGCTTTTGAAATCTAATTCATTAGGGTCCTTTCAGATGGGCGTTCCGCATGTCTGTTTTTTCATCTGTCCATTTACGGATGAAAAACAGACACCCATGTGTTTCTATGGACTAGAAAATGTAAACAGATGATCATCTGTTTACATCTGTTAATGTCCGCATCCATTAACATCCATGTTTTTGAATGGAAGAAAACCCTATTTTTCTTCCGTAAAGAAACGAAAATGGAACGGACAAAAAACGGATGTAAACGGACATATGGTCTGTTTATGCTTTGGTAAAGGATGTAAAAAACTGATGTAAAAAATTATGAGAAACTGATGAGATACTGACGAGAAACTGATGAAAACAGATGGAAAAACTGATGTAAACGGATGAAAAACTGATGTTAACTGATCCGTTTTTCTTAGAAAAAATATGACTGAACTAATGAAAAAAACAGAACGCCCGTGTGAAAGGACCCTTATAGAAACAGTGTTGGAGCCTGTAGAAAGCAACTGTGCTGCCTCCAGTTCATCATCTGCTGACGGAAAATGGTAAATCTCTAACATTTTGTGCTATTTTTCATACATACTTGATTAAAATATTTTATTACTGAGTCTAGTAATATCACAATATAAATAAATACAGTAATATACTAAATATGTATATATATATATATATATATATATATATACACATATATCTGTAAAAATAGTGCTTATTGCCTTAAAGTGGTTCTTCAATCAAAACAACCAGAACAAAATTAAACTTTTAATAAAAAGGACACTTACCTGTCCAAGGATCCAGCACTGTTCTCACCCAGGCCAGTTCTTCACTAGTCTTCGAGTCCCTGACACTGGCATGTTAACTATGTGCAGCCAGCTTGACTCCTTGCAGCTTCACAGCCAGCTGTCCACTGTATGTGCACAAACCGCTGTGCTTTGTGAATGGTCCTGAAACCTGCAGGCAGGGCAAGGGGGAGGAAAACGTCTGGAGAATCCACCATGGCGATCTGACCGGAAGTGGGAGTGGGTGCCTGTCAAAAGCAGGTACCTGCCCCATAAACTGTCCAAAAGTGGTAGAGGAGCAGGGAAGGAGTCAGAAAAGTGGAACTTCCCCTTTTGGGTAAAGGTTTGCTTTAAAGATATGTATGTGATCTTCCTGCAGAGAATTTAAATATTAAAGAGTAACTTTTGTTGAGCAAAAACATACCCCTATGGGTGATCTTTGTACGTTGCAAGGATTTTAACAAACATTGTAGCAGATTCCTACATGTTTCTGTTCTTAAGAAAAAGCTGTATGATTTATGTCTTTGGAATATGGATTCCTGAACGGGAGTGTCTTTGTTCAATATAATCAGCCCAGAAAAGTTGGAGTGTCTTGGTTCAATATAATCAGCCCAAAAAAGTTGCAGTGTTTGCATCCCTTTAGAAGTAGTTTTAGGGAGTATCTCACTAAATATATCATTCCTATTGCAGAGGATGCCTAAAATTTGACTTGCATCTTAGGCCTTGTTCACACGGGGCATTTTAATCTATAACCCAAGCAGGGCCACGTTTTACTGGCATGGGGATGCGCAGGTATTCTGGACTGTTCTGGCAGTCCCATTACTGTCTGTTGGGATGCAGCAGCTGCATGGACAGTTGCTGCTCCCAATATGACATCTGTGTGAGTGACCAGGCCCAAATGTACCCAGGGTGTGTTCCAGGCTGTGCACCTACATGGATGTAACATTGGAACAGTGGTTGTGTCTGTTCAGCAGCTGCATCCCAATTGACAGCTATGGGACAGCCGGCATGGGGATGTGCGCAATACTGGTGCTTCTCCTTGCTGGTAAATGCTTTAAAACACCCCATGTGAACAAGGCCTTAGTGCAGACTTCTTGGAAAATCATTGAGCCAATTACACAAACAGGAAATGACAATTATGGGAAAGTTCTGCACACCAGTTGTGTTCAGAAGGCCTCCAGGTTGCCATATTGCATTGAAATTAAAAGAAAAACTACAACGGCTGCAGGATGAAAAGCAAACGTAATTTTTACCAATATTACATTACAGTATGACTTATGTAGCAATTGTATCTGCTATATTTTGTTCAAAGTGGAGTTACCCTTTAAGTGATTCCTCTGTGCTGCTAGCAAAGCTATTTATATAGTTACAGCCAGCCTGCACTGTGACTTACACAACTGCTGTTTTTAGCTACAAACACCCCTCACCTGCATAGCCAGTTTTTAAGTAAATGAACCATGCCTTCAAAGGCATTATACACATGCTTACATGCACCTTGTGTTTCTCACCTGCATAACATGTGCATTGATCATGTAGTTTCGTGGTGTAATTTGTTGGCCTGTCAGCACAGCCTATAGTAGAGTAAATCTACACAATCTGGTGTTATAATTCTGTTTGTGTTCAAACATGAGGTGTGAGGTTATTGCAGGACCTCTGTGGTATGAAAACTGACACTTCCTATGAAGAAACTACATATCCCACAATCACTGGGTCTGTCAGTCTAGTGCTCTGCAGGTGAGAGCTAAACAGTAATTAGATCTGATACAAACACAAGCAGGCAGAGCAGTTAAGGACAGCTCACCATGCTGGATAAGATGTGTTTCATCACATTAACACTGCCATGTTTGTTATGCAACACAGAGGAAATAGTGAGGCATACACTAGACACCTGGAACAAGAGGTTGCCTGTCCCTAGGGATCGACTATATGTATAAATATACATGGACATAGGGGAATCAATCAGCCATGACACTACAAATTGAACCATAATATGTGAGCCCATCATTACAAGTTATAGCAAACATATGACACAGGCAATATAACAACACTAATGCCTAGTTAAAATTATGAAAATATTTTAAAATGTACAATGCCTATAAATCTTCAAACTCTACCAACCTCCTATGAGCACCCCACAGAAGTCTTTGCACTCCTTCTCTGTGTAAAAGTGATTGCTGTTTCCGTTGCACCCTCCATATTGGAAGGTGACACACTTGCTTTGGTTCTCATTGAAGGCCCAGCGGGTTTCCGACATGTTGCAGGAGCCTGTGGCTATTGGAATATGGCAGGCAGCTACAAGAGAGAAATAGATGTCAGCCAGAACTCAAAAGAGGTGTTTAGTGAGCTGGACACAGCTAGACAAAGGCATCTAATAAAACTGCAGCTCTCATGGTTTTTTCACAGGCCAGTATTGAAAGGAAGGATTTACCTGGCTCTCAGCCTATGTGAACATGCATGGGTAGTACTTGGTAGCTAGCATGAAATGTAACAATAATAAATGTAATGTAAACTCAGGGCAACAATCAAAACCAATCAGTATACTGTCTACTGTCTTACATTTTTATTGTCCTCCATGTCCGTGTCAATGGTTAGGAGAACAATGGTTAGGAGTTTTAAGCTTTGTCTGTTTTTTAGGTTATTTGTGTTTTCACTGTAAAATTTCACTTCCTTCCCCTTCCACACTCTAAGCCCCGGTTCACATATATTTGGCCATGCGGACCGCGTTTTTGCGTGGGCACGAAAGCCCATTCATTTGAATGGACTCCAGTGCCCCATGACATGCAGGGAAGAAGTCCCTGCACTTCTTCTGAAAACGCAGCCTGCACAGGAACTTCGGTTCCCAGTACGGTTGCGTTTCCAGTGCGGGTGGCGTGCTATTAGAACTAATGGCACCCGCTCGCGGGTCCACATTTCTTTGTGTGGGGTGTTGCGGCTGCACGGATTTTCGTGCAGATCCGCTGCAGCACCACCCACACAGATGTGAACCAAGCCTAAAGGAGAAGCTGGTGCGCACAAAATCTGGTGCAGCTGTGCATAGTAGCCAAACAGCATCTAATGCAGGCCATACATGGGTCCGATTGTAAGCTCGAAAGAGCAGGGCCTCGAACCCCTCGTGTATTGTATTGTACTGTATTGTCTCATGTTCTGTCCTCCTCGCTAATGTACAGTGCTGAGCAAACCCTTTGGCGCTATATAAATACTGTATAATAATAATTCCAAAAAAAAAAATTTCTTTAGAAAATCAGAAAGTTTGTGCATTTTGTAATCCAATGGTGCCACCATTGATTTTTAAATTCGACCAACCAAGCCTTTAATTTTACCTCATGTTGTTACAAAAAAGAATTTTCATGGCCAAGAATTTTCTTTGCTTTCCAGGTCAAAGCTCATGCTCATTTCTTTTTCATTTCCATTTATCACACAATTCTTCCATCATTGATTAGAAATTTGTTCGTTTTTCAAAAGATGTCCAACAAATTTGATGTGGCCCACTAATGGTGCGAAATTCAAAATTTTCTTTCAAAAATTAGAAATTTTGTGCATTTTGTAATCCAATAGTGCCACCATTGATTTCAAAATTTGACCAACCAAGCCTTCAATTTCACATGTTGGTACAGAAAAGAATTTTTAGAATCAGATTTTCAGAAAATAATTTTCATGCCCAAGAATTTTCTTTTCTTTCCAGGTCACAGCTTATGCTTGTTTCTTTTTCGATTATATTTCTAGCACAATTCCCCCATCACTGATTAGAAATTCCTTCATTTTTAAAAAAATTTCCAACATGGCGGATCACTTAAATTCAATGGTTGAACGAACATTGGTTGTATCTGTGGCCCACTAATGGTGCGAAATGCGAACAAAAATTATTAGAAAAGATTTTCAAAAGAAAATTCTTTTGAAATTCGACCCGTGTATGGCTGGCTTTAAACCCAAAGGCTGATTGGCTACTATGCACATCAGCACCATATTCTGTGTGCACCATGTACAGTATGTCTGGATGTAATAGAATGTAATAGGAAGTGACTCGAAAGCTCCTCAACAAACTTTGACAGCAATAAAAGCCTGATAGAGGTTCTACCTCTACCCTACTCCATCCAAAACTTACAAATATATAAAGCCAACATTTTGATTCATTATTGTAGAGTAGTGTAACCACATTAACATATACCAACCCTCAGTTCTGCATGTCTGGATACATTCCCATTCAGTATGAAAATTGTTGTGGTTTCCGAGGCAGCCACCATATTGGAAACTCTCACAAGCCATAGACGAGGTATTATAGAAATAATGAGTGTTGTTTGCAGAACAAGGTCCAGGGGCTGGAAGCAAGTGACATGAGCCTGACAGCAGGAAGGAAAGAATAGTATTTAACATCCATGTTAATCCAAGCAAATATTTAAGAACACATACTGTACCATTAAATGTATAAGAAGGTATTTTTACATATACAAAAGTATACAGAGGATACAGTCTATCTTCTAGTGACTGTTTTGGTAGCACAGTAGAATAACAAAATCAAAGATTTTTAAATTAAAATCTTTTAAAATAAAAAAATTTTAAGATTTTCACATAAATATGTGCCTGTTTGTTACACTGAAGTTTATGTTTTTAGTGTCAGAAAGTCACAATAGAAAATAACCTATTATTTGCATTTTCAGAAGTACACATGCCACAGCCAAGATACTTTGCTTCGCAGCTGCAGCAAAGAAAATACCTTATGCTGTGTTTAGCGTGTAGTACTGCTATCAAACACGACCCATTCAAGTGGATAGGACCGTGCCACTATCGTATTGCAACCACATGTAATGTATGCGGTTGCAGCTTAATGGTGTAGGCTTTTTAGGGTTAAAACAGGCAGTGAGGAGGGGAATATTGCTTCCCAGCTACCAGTCAACTACCCTCTGTCAAGCAATCTGCTGCAGATCCCGTTTCAGAGGGGCAGCAAGGGCTGCTGCTAGGGTGAACAAGCCCTTAGACAAATGTTAACAGAATAGATGTCCCTATTGAAAGGTTTCCCCTCTGCTACTGTTCCAGTGACAATTTTAATATTGTAGATTTCCCACCACCTTCTGTCTTGGTGGAAGTGGTTACAAGAACAAATAGGGACAGTGGGGGAGATTTACTAAAACTGGTGCACACAGAATCTGGTGCAACTGTGCATAGTAACCAGCTTCTAACTTCAGTTTGTTCATTAAACTTTGACAATAAAACCTAGAAGATGATTGGTTATATGCACAGCTGTACCAGATTCAGTGTGCACCTGTAAGCAGGTTGCTTATGGTAGCCTAGATAGGTGCTGCCCTAGACCAGTAGGTCAGAGTTAATGGTTTTTCCTGGGTTTTCTTTGGTGGGCTTTCTTGGGTCTGCCCCACTAATGTTGTACATATAAAAAGGGAAAGTGGTCCAGAGCCCTGGGTCCAGGGCCCGGGGAGCACCGTAGAGGAGAGAAAAGAGCAGTAGCCATTGGGGTTTCTGAGTTGTCCATTGCAGAAGTTCTGGATTCTGGAGTTCGCAGCCCATGAGCTGGATGTCATCACCGATGAAGGAGTCTGAGGTCATTTACATTCTGAAGCATTCCACTTTGTAGGGGGACTGCTAGTCCACCCTGAAGATTCCAGCTGCTGGATTCTGTTAACCATGGACTATGCCATGAATGGACTCTACCTATGCAGGTATGCCGGGGCAGCACACAAACCTGAGACAGGAATTAGGTACGTTAGGAAAAGACTGTTGGCTTTGTTTGACTGTCATGTCTAAGATATTAAGTAAAGCTTTTTAAACTTTTTCCTTGCCTGATCTGAACTTGCTAAAAGAGTTTATGTAGGTAGCCAGAACACACATGTAGTTTCCAGCCTAGGTCAGAAAGCACAATGAGATATGAAGACTGTAAGTGGTTAACAAGGGCAATAGAGGTCCAACAAGCAGCCTGTAAGCATGTGCCTGTGACAGGTGGGACATCCTCTTGTAGTGAGAGTGTGTTGTTGGCAAATCTCCCCTGGCGATCCATCTCAAAAAGCAATGGGAGGAGATCAGCACTCAGAGGTTACCGGCCTGTACACTGTGTACTGTAGAGGGAGAGTTAAGTAACTGCATGCATGGGGCCCACGATAATTGCACAGCGGGTTACATTCCGCTACTGGGAGTAAGTAGTGGAGTTACATTGGACTGGTAGAGTGGGTATAGGCTCAGTCTTCCCCTGCTAAATGCAACAAGTTAAGGTGTATAAGAACCCAAACTGGGGTAGGTTCCCTATGTAACCCATACTTGGTGCCCAACAAGGAGGAGACCATGGAGGGATTTCACCAGGAGCCCATTGAATTCAAGCGTGGCACCGTGATAGGTTGCCACCTGTGCAATAAGTCCATCCATGAAATTTTCTTGTTACTAAATATTCCACGGTCAACTGTTAGTGGTATTATAACAAAGTGCAAGCAACTGGGAACAACAGCAACTCAGCCTCAAAGTGGCAGGCCACGTAAAATGACTGAGCAGGGTCAGCGTATGCTGAAGAGCACAGTGCGCAGAAGTCGTCGACTGTGTGCAGAGTCAATAGCTAAAGACCTACAAACTTCATGTGGCCTTCAGATTAGCACAACAGTGCATAGAGAGCTTCGTGGAATGGGTTTCCATGACCGAGCAGCTGCAGCCAAGCCTTACATCACCAAGTGCAATGCAAAGCATTGGATGCAGTGGTGTAAGCATGCTGCCACTGGACTCGAGAGCAGTGAAGACGTGTTCTCTGGAGTGATGAATCTCGCTTCTCTGTCTGGCAATCCGATGGATGTGTCTGGCAGCTGTGTTGGCAGCTTCCAGGAGAACGATACTTGCCTGACTGCATTGTGCCAAGTGTAAAGTTTGGTGGAAGCAAGATTATGGTGTGGGGTTGTTTTTTAGGGGTTGGGCTTGGCCCATTAGTTCCAGTGAAGGGAACTCTTAAGGCATCAGCATACCAAGACATCTTGGAGAATTTTAGGCTCACAACTTTGTGGGAACAGTTTTGGAATGGCCAATTCCTGTTCCAACATGACTGAGCACCAGTACACAAAGCAATGTCCGTAAAGACATGGATGAGTGAATTTGGGGTGGAGGAAACTTGGCTGGCCTGCACAGAGACCTGACCTCAACCTGATAGAACACCTTTGGGATGAATTAGAATGGAGACTGAGAGCCAGGCCTTCTCATCTGACATTAGTGCCTGACCTCACAAATGTGTTTCTGAAAGAATGGTCAAATATTCTCATAGACACACTCCTAAACCTTGTGTTAGATTGGAGATTGATGGGAGCTGGAGAGATACTAGGTCTTACCTGTCCTTGTGTGAAGGTTTTACAGGTACCATACCCCTATTGGAACAATGAAGAAAATAAACCCTATTAGGAAAAAATATTAACATTGGCGTTTGTCTTGCTTACCACTCTGTGTGGTTTTTTTATAATGTCATAATAAAACATGTTCTATTTTATCCAATTTTGTTTATGATTATGCATTTTTATACCCATAATGGTATGGTACCTTAAAAGCCCCATTATGTTTTCCTATTACGGTTTATTTTCTTCATTGTCCTAAACCTTGTCCAGCCTTCCCAGAAGAGTTGAAGCTGTTATAGCTGCAAAGGGTGGGCCAACTCAATATTGAACCCTACAGACTAAGACTGGGATGGCATTAAACTTCATGTGCGTGTAAAGGCAGGCCGACCAATACTTTTGGCAATATAGTGTATATGGGGAAGGTGGTAGTTAAGTACACCAGTTGCAATAATTCCCTGGATCTTCTGGACCCTAATTTTTAGATCATGGTCAGCTCTGCTCAATCGTTCCACCCTGAAATCTATGAACATCCAAAGTCTAGTATTATTAGGAAATACCAGCTTCCTACCGTTTGCTTCAAAAGAGAAAAAGATTAGCCTGATTTGGTTCACAGCCTAGGTTACCATACTAATCTAGATTTATGATGACCTCTGAAGTTAAGACATTATTTTTACACAATATCCTTCAAACACCTCCTATTAAGATAATTGACTCAATCTGAAAGAAGTTTGTGTAGAAGAACAGGCAGTTCAACATATATCCTTGGATATACAACTGGTGAACAAACTCCCTGAACACTACAGCCTCCCTTTATCACAAATTTGGAGGGTGACCTGGGACTCACACACTCTCCGCAATGGAAGCAAATGCCTAATTTCGACTACGGTCATCTATTTGTAGTAAATATCTGGAAGCCAGAAATAAACTCCCAGCGAGATGATATAGGGTTCTGTCATCCACAGGTTCTCCTCTAACTCTTCTCCCCTGTGCTGGAGGTACAAACAAAATCCAGGAAACCTTCTCCATATATTCTGGGTATGCCACCTACTGGTCACATTCTGTGTTATATTGAGGGGCATCGTACATCTAGGAAATGACAACTGTCTCACCAAAAAGCAATATAAAAACCAATGACTTGTCACCTAGTGAATGCATCAACTAAATCCAATATAGGTACCTACAATCTATTGCAACCAGAACTAACACGCAATAAAACTTGGTAACCAAATAAAGCCCTCAATCCCTGAAGTTTGTCCTTCTCCTCAATATTTTCCCTAATCCACTCCTCCATTCCACGGTTACCCAAAGTACACTCATTCCCCATCCCAAAAACACCTAAAGTACACTAATTCTCCTTTTTTTAATTCTCCTTTCACTTTTATACCAACTCTCCCTTACCCTTTAATTCAGCCTCTCCTAGCCCCTCTTTATATCTCAGACCCCAAATCCACCTCTTCCTCCCAGGCCATATTTTTCTCATACATCGACTATACAGTACATTGGAGTCCAGTTCATCTATATGGTCTTGTTGCTGATCACGAAAGCTTTACTCGCATGCATTTTATACTAATGCCTATCCTTGTAAACTTGTCTGTTTATATTAAAAAAGGGAATCTTTTGCTTTGCCCTTCACACACCCCACATCAAATGTGTACCTATAGAAATTTGTGTTGTGGAGAAAGAGAGGGGTCGAGTCTGACCTAGTCTGTTGGTTTAAAGGGATAATAATATTTGGTACCAATGATTTTAAATTGTTATTGTTGACTTACCTAGAAGAAATTTGATGTTCTCACAGAACTACATGCTTGCTTTGTTATATGTTTACAGTCAGATACTATATACGTAAAGGTTTGAATTACCTTCCTTAAGGGTTAAGGGATTTGTTTAGTGACATTCTCAGATCCAATTAAACTGTACAGTATGTAGATGTGATAAAATGTAGTAATGTACAATCATGGC